GTGGGTTGGGAATGTGTTGAGATGTTGCCTTATACTAGTTTTATGATTACTCTTTCAAATTTGAAAATTTGAAAATGCTTAATAATTATGATATGTGTCTAAGATTTTTGAAATTGCTAAAAAATATTCATCTAATGACTTTTAGTCATCCTCGACAAACATGATCACTTCTCATCTTACTTTAAACCAGTGAGGTTAGGAATCATCACTTGGTCTAGGGAGGATGGTGTAGTGACTATGAAGGATGTGATAGTCAATGAGATAAAATGATGATTTTATGTGTTTGGATGTTATGTTATTTGATCTATTCATGGATAGCTAATTATGCAAATGAGTCTCACTTTTTAAAAAAAAAATTTCAATTAGGTGAATTGTACCTTGTAATAAAATGTAAAATCTACCTATCAAGACATTGTATTTTTCAAAAACTTTCATGCTATGTTGAGATATAAAGTGTGGGGTAAGCCCAATGTGTGAGGCTTGTTTTCATTGCACAAAATTGAGTTTTGGAAGACATACTAGTTGAGCTTTAGTGTGGAAATCTTACAAGGTGTTGCTAGTTCCTATCTAGTACAAGTAAAATTTTCACATATCAAATTGATAACCAACCTGAGGATGTGTTTTTAAGGGCACAGATAAAGCTTCTGACACCCTTGATTTCATTAATCCTCCATACGAGTTGAGGTACAAGAGCTTCTAGATTTTGCTCAACCAATAAGGGTCTAATGCTATATAAAGATCTCCACTTAAGAAAAGTATAGGAAAAAATTGTTGTCCGCAAGAGAAGAATATTGGAAAAAATAGAAAAAGAGTGTGTATAAAGAAGGCAAAAGTTCATAAATGAATGTTAAATTGATGGTAGAAGCATTCAAAGCTTAAATTGTTTATCAAAAGCTTCGCTCTATTGTTTTGAGACTCTAAAGCATAGTTAGTTGTTTTTTTTTTTTTTTGACAAAGATAGAGTTCCATTCATTTCAACGGTGATTGTAGTACAAACTAATCCTATTACAACATAGGGTAAATGATGTTAAGAACTTGAATCCACTCCTGGTGAAGTGACCCTTTTGCAGCTTCTTTTGCAACCCAATCCGCACATTTGTTCTCCTTTCTTGGACAAAAGGCAATCTTGATCCCACCATTCGCATGGAGGATTTGCCTCATCCATTGAATCCACGCCCTAACTTGCCAAGGTCCATCTTTGCTTGTATTAAGAATCGTATCGACCAAGACCTTACAGTCAGAGTGGATGGTAGCAGAGATGCCGACTGAAACCACATGTTGCATTGCAATCAGAATAGCCTTAGCTTCCGCTACAATCGCCGACGAGCAGAACAGAGTACCAGCAAAGCCATCTACAACTTGGCCAAGAGGGTTTTTAATTACCACTCCATAGGCCGCCAACTGAGATTCCGAACTGAAAGTTCCATCACAGTGAATAACCCAATGGTTAAGACAAGGCGGTAGGCTGAGTGTAGGATGACGGGGAAAAAAACTCATAGCTTTCAGAGAAGTACCATAAGTACTAGGGATAACTCCTTTAAACACCCTCTCGTTCCTCACCAGCCAAATTGCCCAGAGGCAAGCCACAACTGCCGGAATAGGAATCAGAGGGATACTTTCAGAGATCTCAAGTAACCACATCACAATCGGGGTGGAGTCGTGTGGGAGAATGAGCGAAGGAAAGTTAGAATGCCAAACCCTCGCAGCATGCGGACACTGGAAGATACAGTGTCTAATGTCCTCAACCTCCACTTCACAAATAGAACAAACAGGGGAAGGATTGCATCTTCTGAACCAAAGATTTCTCTTTGTAGCAACCGCATTCCTCGACAGTCTCCAAATGAAAGACCGGATCTTTGGAGGAAGCGATAAGCTCCATAACCATTTCCACGCTTTAGTCGAGCAGCTCGGGTGATTTGGATTTCCAGTTCCAAGCCTGTTCATTTCCACAACTCTAAAACTGTGATAAGCAGTCTTGACTGAGAAGATATCTGACTTCTCGTGATGCCAAACCCAAGTGTCATCTGAGTACTGCGGACCAATAGGGATTCTTCTAATGGCTGCCACTTCTTCCTCCGAACAACTCTGTCTAATGATGTCCAAATTCCATTCCCATTCATCCTCCATAAGCCACTGGAAAGCCCATAATTGTTGGCGTTGGATCGGTTGAAGTTTAAAATTGCTAATGCCCGGAATCCACGGATCACCATCCAGTGCAATAGTTCTCCCACTTCCCATATTCTTTCGAGCCCCTAACTTCAGGACCTTCTTAGCCTCCCAGATGCTAGCCCAAATCCAAGATGGTCTACGACCCTTACCGGCCGCCATGAAATCAGAGTTAGGAAAATACAAGCCTTTCAAAATCTGAATCCATGTTTCATCCCCACCAGTGAGGATCCTCCATCCTTGCTTTGCAAGCAATGCCATATTGAAATGGTAGAAATCCTTGAAACCCATCCCCCCTTCTTGCTTTGGGGCTGTCAGGACGTTGCCTTTCCTCCAATGGATTGAGGTCTTTTCCATGTCTCCACCCCAGAAAAAAGCTCTAAGGCGAGAGTTCATCTTATTTGAAGTATTTTTTGGCAACAAGAAGCACGACATGAGGTAGGTAGGATACCCTTGATAAACCGATTTGAGGAGGGTTTCCTTTCCTGCTTGGGAGAGAGCAAGACTTTTCCAAGCTTGGCCAAGCTTTTCCATTCGATTCAGGAGGCCTGCAAAAACCTCTTTCCTTGACCTCCCCCATTCTGTTGGAACACCCAAGTACTTTCCAAGCCCATCCGCCAACGGGATACCAAGGAAATTCCCAATAAGAGACTTAATTGCTTCCGGTGTATTCTTGCTGAAAGTGATTGCCGATTTTTCACAGTTGATAACTTGCCCTGTCATCCTCCCATATTTGTCCATAGTAGATTTGACCTGAATCGCCTCAGCAAGAGATGCTTTCCCAAACAGGATCGTATCATCTGCAAAAAGAACATGGTTGAGACGCGGACAATGTTGATTAAGGGTGATACCCTGGATAGCACCTGAATGCACATTCTTAGAGATGAGGAAGGATAAAGCATTAGTCAAGAGAATGAAAAGGAGGGGAGAGAGAGGATCTCCCTGACGAATTCCCCTAGAAGGAAGGAAGGGTTGAGAAGGTTGTCCATTGATCAGCAGAGAAAACCTGACAGTCCGCACACATTCCTTAATCCACAAGCACCATTGATGGGCAAACCCCATAGCCATAAGGATCATGTCAAGACATTCCCAATCCACCAAATCATAGGCTTTCTTCATATCCAATTTAATCATCATGTCCCAATTACCCCCTTTTGGTCGAGTTCTAAAGTGGTGCATGACTTCATGGACGATAATAATGTTATCTTGAATCGCTCTACCTCCAATGAAAGCCGATTGCATCTCTGAAACCACCTTTGGAAGCCACTCTTTCAATCGAGTAGTCATAATCTTTGATATCACCTTATACCTGAAGTTGCAACAGCTAATTGGTCGAAACTGAGAAACTCTTTCCGGATTGGACACCTTAGGAGTCAGCACAATATGAGTCTCGTTCCAACCTTCTGGCATACAACTTTGTGAAAAGAAAAGCTGAATCTCTTCACACAATTGTTTCCCCACTATATCCCAGTAAGTCCTATAGAACAAGCCAGGAAAGCCATCAGGTCCTGGTGATTTACTCGAGCCGAGTTCAAAGACGACACTCTTGATCTCCTTATCCTCAATAGGCTGACAAAGGGCTTGGTTCATCTCATCATTCACCACTCTCGGGATATCCCGAAAGAGATCAAGATCGATATCACCATCCCTTCATTTGAAAAGGTCAGTATAGAAAGAAATCATGTGATGATGCAACTCATCTTGATTAGTAATCCAATTGTCCCCATCATCCAACAGTTTGACCACTTTGTTACGAAGACTCCTTTGTATAGTAGAAGTGTGGAAGAATCTAGAATTCTGGTCCCCCTTATTAAGCCATTGGATCCTAGAACGTTGACTCCAGAAAACTTTTTCTTCTTCCCACACCTTGTTCAGCTCCACAATAAGAACCCTCTCTTCCTGGGCCAAAGTTGCATCCTGCGTAAAATCCGAAATCTCCATCAATCTCCTTTGGATTTCTTTAATCCTTTTGGCCGCATTCCGCACATGTACTATACTCCATTCCGTCAATTCTCTACGACATTGGTCAAGGCACAATTGATGATTTCCCTCTCTACTCCAGATATTCTTGATGATGTCTGCACAAATCTCATAGTTTGGCCATCTATGGTCAAAACGAAATGTGGCCTTTTGTCTTCTTTGGATACCATGCACTTCCAATCTCATGGGACAATGATCTGACCCAACCATTGCCTCATTGAAAATCAAAGCTTTATCAAAAGCTTCTCTCCACTCAAGAGAGCACAAACCTCTATCCAGACGACCCATGATTTTCCTTTGACCTTGTCTCATATTTGACCAAGTGAATCTTGGTCCTTTGAAATCAATATCGATAAGGCTATTGTTGAACACGAACTCCTTGAATGGTTCGGTCGCATTCCTTCTTGGAGGGTTGCCTCCAACTTTCTCCGAAGCATCCAAGACCGCATTATAATCACCCAATAAAAGCCAAGGACTATCATTAGAGGGTTTACAATTACTAATAATATCCCAAAAGGCCCTTCTCTCACTAGGGTCATTTGGGGCATGAAGGAAAGTAATAAAGAAACCTACACCTAAATTGACAAATACATGAACAAAATATTCCGAGTGGTCCAACACATTGACCACGAGATCTTTAACCCACCAAAGAGCTAAACCTCCCCTACTACCTACCGGATTTTGGTACCATTTGTTGTAAAATTTGGCCCTCCTCCTTTCACTTTCTAGACTACTCTCTTGTTGCTTAGTTTCCATCAGAAAAGTCATACAAGGTCTAAAGGAATTGTGCAATTCCCTTAGTTGCCTGACTGCCGTGTCTGTACCAAGACCCCGGCAGTTCCAACATATAAGACTCATGGCTGATTTGGTGGCTTTTGGTGAGCCACCTCCACCCTTCCTGATCCATTCACTCCTGCAGATTCTTCATTCTCAAATTCCTCAGTTAATTCCCTCTGCTGCTCGTGAATGATGATGCTAGCTTTCCTCTTGTTGTTAATCTTCAGCTTCTTCCTAGGCTCATCTTTCCTTAAACCCCAAGGACTAAGGAATTGGGCTTCCATCTGATTATTTTCCCAAAAAGCACAGGGTTGCTGAGTCTGCCCAAATAGCATATTTTCCTGGGCCATTTGGAGGTAATTTGGGCTAGGAAAGAAGGTAGGCTGCCCATAGGAATTAAAATGCAACATAGCTTGGGCCCCTCCAACTTGGCCCATACCCACTTGACCAGACCCTTGGCCTACCACAAACCCTCCTCTCTGGTTCATTCCTTCTGCCGTCTTCTCCATCTCTGGCAGCAGGGTTCTGGGTATGTACGGAGAGAAGCTACCCGTCTGATGTAGTTTAGACAGTCGTTCTTCTCTCTCCGAGGCAGATGGAGATGGAAACCCCGGCGGTTTTCCCGGGTTGTCTCCCATATCGGCTGACAAAAGAGCTGTTGCTCTAGCAGGTGTGGTCCCACGTGCACCATTCCCACCAGTGTTGGCCTCCCTCTCTCTTCTTTGGGATCCTCGCCCACCGGAGAGTCTCCCGTCAAGCAGCCGGTCCAGCGCCCTTCCTCCTTCCTCGGAACCGAAGTTATCTCCTGTCTTGCTTTCCGCCGTTCCCGGCGAATGGATTCTCCGCGCAATAGTAATCGGCGATGCAAGGGGAGTATGGACCCGCTCTAGTCCAGTCACCGTACCACCCCTCCACAAACTCTTCTGGGTTCTTGCAAGCCAGCTGAGAATGGCCAATCCTCCCACAACAGTAGCAAAAATTAGATGGAAGTAGTTCATATTTGAACTCCACCCATAACTCCTTTCCTTCATCCATTTCAATAAAGAAACCAGGGGCCAGGGGATCCACTAGATCGATCACCACCAAAACCCTTATGAAGTTCTTGTAGATCCCTTCAGCAACTCCAGTTTCATCGCCTCTGATAACTTCCTTGAAAATCTCACTTAATGGGAGACCCACGTTTTCCTCAGATCTGAGGTCGCTCGGGAAGTCGTGAATCTGAACCCATATTCGGGTCCTGTTGAAATTGATTTCTTCAGTTCTCACCTTGCCCTCTCCCTTCCATTCTTTGAGGATCATCAGAGCATTTGCAATCTTCCAGGGTCTTGCATCCCAGATTTTTTCTTTATCTTCGTTTGAGCAGAAGGTGATGACGAAAATATTGGTGCCGACTTCAACAACCGTGGGCTGCCTCGTCTCCCTCCAATGCCTTCCTAGAGTAAGCTCCATCGCTCCAGCGTTGTAATTCTTCTCAGCTAAAAACTTGCACACCAGAATTTCAGCCTTCTTCCTTGCTGCCGGACCCTTCTTTGGTTTGAATCTGAAGAGAGAATCCGAGACACTTAGAGATTCCGTCTTTTTCAACAAATCAGAAATTCCATGGTTCGACATTTCCTTTTGAGGTTGGGTATTTTGGAGAGAGGTAGACAGAAGAGAAAGACTGGTTTGTTTCTGGGTTTCCAAACTGGGTTGCAGCCAAAGAGTTAAAACGGTTCTCTCAAAAGTGGTTTGGGAGGAGTTGCATGTTGCTGAAACGATTGTCTGCCTTTTATCTTGAGCCCCTCTAATGGTGAAACTCACCCAATAAATGCTATCTCCCCTAATCTTTGTTTTACAGGTAGAGAGAACTAGAAGATCTGCAATAAATGGTCTCCCACGAAAGCATAGCAGTAATGAATAATCAAAGAAGAGCCATCTTTCCTTCCAGTAGAAGGTGTTGGGGTAAATAGATTTGATGGGTTTGGTAAGAGTCCCTTCAACCCTTGAGAGCTCTTGATTTTGCAGATGGAGATTAAAGGCTTTTGGGGCTCCATGGTACTTGCTCTGAAAATTTCTATCCTTCCAGTCCACTCTCCAATGGCTAGCATTGAATTGAGTGGGTTGAGATCCATCTTCAATTGAATGATTCTGATATTGTAATAGCTGTATCAGTAGGTATTTATTGCTTGATCCATTTCGGATGTTGAAAGCCTCACTAGGAGGATTGAGAGAAAAAGTAGAAAGAGTAAAGTAAGAGAGAGAATCCATATCCGCCCTACATTAGTTAGTTGTTGATGCTTGGGTTAAATTGCATGATGTTCTTGCATATTAACATGGTTTAGAGTCTTTCATGTTGTTGTTGACATTGTGAGTTCACTTTTCATCCACTACCTAAGATCATGATTGAATGATGATTGTAGGTTTCAATGAGTTGTACAATTATAAGTAGTGTTTGTTTGGGGACAAGCAAAGTTCAAGTGTGGGGTATTTCTGATGACACTCAATTTATAGTGTTTATCACTTCCATATTTGATACATTCCCCACTTATTAATGCATCTTTAGTACTTTCTCTTATATTTTAGATATAAACCATAAATATTTGATCAATGGGCATTTGATAGACATAGGTAGGGGTGTACATGGGTCGGTTGGTTCGGGTTTAAGTATTTTAATCACCCGACCCATGCACTATGGTTTGGGAATTATAAAACCCAAACCAACCCAAAAAAATTTAAACCCTACGGTTTGTTTCTAATTGGGTTGGGTCGGGTTGGCGATATTTTTAAGTAAAAACCCAACCCAACATAAAATATATAATTATTATACACCATAAAAATATTTTATAACTAATTAAAATTTCAAACAAATAAACCGAGGTGAAAGGTATCAAAATTCACAAATGTTGTTTGATTTTTAATAAAATGTGATTTACTTCAACATATGTCTAGTTTTTTTCACGATATTTGTTGAAATAGGCTAAAAAGGTTATAAACAAATGCATCCATAATATGTTATTCTATTAAAATTGTACACAAGAAAAAGGATTACGTGAATCATAACTATATTCAATTTATGTCTAAACTTTAAGTGGAAGAATGCATTAGATTAGGGAGACCATGATAGAAAAACATGGCGAAACATCTTACTTTTCACATAAGTATGGCTATATACGACATAAATATTTTTTAGATACGAACTCATACTAATAGTTGGAACACGGGTTGGGTCGGGTTCTACGGGTTGTGTAATCCAAAATCCAAACCCAACCCAAAAGAGGCGGGTTGTACAAAAGAAAACCCTCACCCAACCCAAAACCTTCGTTATAGCGATAAATACGGGTGGGTTGGGTCGGGTTGGACGGGTGGATCGGTTTGCGGGTGTGTTTGTTCACCGCTAGACATAGGTTGTATTTTTGTATTCATTTATGCCTTCTTGGTATGTTTTTGTATTTTTCAAGGTAAAATACAACCTAGGTGAATTTGGATCAGGCATTTGATGATTCTAGAGGACCAAACATCTAAAGAGAGAAAAATATGGAGTTTTCATATTAAAACAAGGTCCAAAGACGGAGAAACATACTGGGAACCACAAGTAAAGCTTAAGAAGAGACCAATGGAGGAAGACTCAATAAATTGGATCAAGAACTAGTGGCGTCCCAATGTCGGTCCAACCGTCGCTCAAGTAGATATGGTCTAATCACGATGAAATCTTCAAGAGAGGTTGCTTATGGGTCAAGGAGTTCAACCCACGAAGAAAACATGTGGTTGTTCTAGCTGCCACCCAGCGCCAATCATCAGCCCTAGCCCAACTGACGTATAGAAGGCGTCGCTTTAGCCCTTAACCAACTCCTATTAGGGTTATGAGGGTTTTGGCCGAATTTTGCCTCTATTAGTTCAATAGGCTACACAATTTCATTCAAAACTTTTGTAGACACTCTTTTCGAGCAAGAATTTAGCATTCTTAGGAGAGGGTGCAGCTAAGGAGATGCCTTCATCATCAATGGTGGTACCCTTCCTCTCTTTTATGTATAGCTAGTTCAAAATTGATTGTGTAGTAATGTGAACTCGTTTATCTTTATATGTATCGATGCTATGATTTCCTATGATGCTTGTCTTTATGCTATTGAATTTTGATGCCTATCATGTATGTATGTATGTATGTATGTACGTACATATGCATGTATGATGTATGTATGTATGTATGTATGAACGTACTTATGGTTCTATAATATACTACTATATGCATTGTACTTAGTATCGTCTAGGTTGTTAAGAAATTACTCTCGAGTGATACCCCATTGATGCTAATGAGTATAGAGGGAATAATTAACCATATATGCCTAAAGTAGTATCTATGCTTGATTGTTAGATTATTGATGCTATATACCATCGATTATAGATCAAAAGGCACACGCTTAATCATTTGCTATCCTCACTTATCTGTTCTTCATTGACCAGGTGATGGGAAGAAGCGAAAGCACACATTAGCTAGTCAAGTTCCTATTGCATGTGGCGAAAGTTCGAGTAGGATAGTCTTAGTATAATGGATAGATTGATGCTATAGATGAATCATTGATGAATGATATGAATGTGTGGTAATGTGAATGATAGGTATCAAGTATGCTTCTTTATTCAATAATGTATCTTTACTTTTACGCATTTATATAACTTGAAAGATCCCTGATATTCGAAAAAACCCCTAAAAGTCTTTCATATTATTGTTCGAGCATGGATGGTATGGTGTGAGAAATTGTGCATTAGAAGACCTCGTGGAATACTACCCTAAGGCATGTTAGGACTTTTAGCACTTGCATGTTCGTCACCTCAAAAACAAATATTAGATAGGATAAATTGATCATTTTTAGTCTAAAGTTAAGTATGATACAAATCATTTATAATTGATTTACTTCTTTTTTCTTCTCTACTGTTGTTGACTTGTGTCTTATTGCTGGTTAATGTTAATAATAAATCAATGCAGAAGATTTAATTACTTTACCATTCTAGCCTTGATGGGTACAAGCAAAATAATTGACAGATTTGGATTTATTTTCCGTTTGGAAAGCTAAAATGAAGAAAATTTAACCAACAAATTTAATAATGCTAATAATAAAAAGGTATAAGTAATTTCACCTTCCTTATTCTGTTTAGAAAACATACTACAAAGAATGAGCTATGCTATATGACATGGAAAAAAGTCTAATAAGAAAACAAGTCTTCCTCCTTATATGTTGATTCGTTTATCAATTAAACTTTGTAATTCCACTTGACATTCTCCAAAACTGAATTTGCTCTTCTCCCGTTCATTTCTTTCTTTCTATACCAAACAAATAGACAAATATAAATTCAAACCTGATTAAACCAAGGGAAAATGCCAGGTGGAAAACAACAACTCCAATCAATTAAAACAACAATAAAATTCAACAATGAACTGTAGTTATGTTTATTGACGTACCTTTTTTACAAACAAATTTGTGAAAGTGTGGTTGTCGAGTAGTTGCAGACTTGGTAAAAACCGGATGCCATCCAATTTCGTTTTGGATTGTGGTATTGGTCAAAACGATTTTAAAAATTGGATTAGTCTAAGTATAGTTGAATCCATTCCTTCCCACCGGACCTTCTCGCAAGCGCTGGTGGAGCCCCGTTTGTGAGTAGAAAAGTTTGGAAACATGAGACACATTTTTTCTCCATTTCAACCTTCCTTCTTAGGTTTCCTTATACCTTCTCGTAAGTGGTTGACTCTCCAAAAGTGAAGTTTGTGTAAACCAAATAGTTCTTAGCTAGTTGTAGCCTGATCCTATTCACCCACTCTATTATTTGCTCCCATTACCCATCACACCTCTGTTAAAGTTATTAGTGGTGGAGTGATGGAATATCTTCCCATGCATCCACTAATCATGGATTCGCCTCTAATTTTAATTTCCCCCCTTTTATTTATACTTTGTGTTGCCAAAAGAAGAAACTAGTTGGCCCTGAAGTTCTAAATTGCAAGATTAGTGGGAGGGACAGGGTGCATGGGTGCCAGCTCAGAAACCAAGTGCGTTTGGCTTCTGAT